GTTTATAGTGTTACAATATCCACTCCATTCTGAAAACAGCCTGTTTATAGTGTTACTATATCCTCTCCATTCTAAAAACAGCCTGTTTATAGTGTTACTATATCCTCTCCATTCTAAAAACAGCTTGTTTATAGTGTTGCTATATCCTCTCCATTCTAAAAACAGCCTGTTTATAGTGTTACTATATCCACTCCATTCTAAATATAGCCTGTTTATAGTGTTACTATATCCTCTCCATTCTAAAAACAGCTTGTTTGTAGTGTTACTATATCCACTCCATTCTAAATACAGCCTGTTTTTAGTGTTACTATATCCTCTCCATTCTAAAAACAGCTTGTTTATATCCACTCCATTCTAAATACAGCCTGTTTATAGTATTACTATATCCACTCCATTCTAAATACAGCTTCTTTATAGTGTTACAATATCCACTCCATTCTGAAAACAGCCTGTTTGTAGTGTTACTATATCCACTCCATTCTAAATATAGTTTATGTACAAATCTATATTCATCAAGTACCAATGCAAGTACCAATCTATATATCAAGTACCAATGCAAATACCAAAAATCTATATATCAAGTACCAATACAAGTACCAATCTATATATCAAGTACCAATGCAAGTACCAATCTATATATCAAGTATCAATGCAAGTACCAATCTATATATCAAGTACCAATGCAAATACAAATCTATATTCATCAAGTACCAATGCAAGTACCAATCTATATATCAAGTACCAATGCAAATACCAATCTATATATCAAGTACCAATGCAAATACCAATCTATATATCAAGTACCAATGCAAGTACCAATCTATATATCAAGTACCAATGCAAGTACCAATCTATATATCAAGTACCAATGCAAGTACTAATCTATATATCAAGTACCAATGCAAATACCAATCTATATATCAAGTACCAATGCAAATACCAATCTATATATCAAGTACCAATGCAAGTACCAATCTATATATCAAGTACCAATGCAAGTACCAATCTATATATCAAGTACCAATGCAAGTACCAATCTATATATCAAGTACCAATGCAAATACAAATCTATATTCATCAAGTACCAATGCAAGTACCAATCTATATATCAAGTACCAATGCAAGTACCAATCTATATATATCAAGTCCCAATGCAAATAACATAGACAATAATATGCCAACACAGATTTTACCAACAGATCATTCTATATCATTTGTTCTACTTGTCTCTCCTCAAAAACTGCAGGTCTAGATTTGTAAAATGTTTGAAAGAATGCAAACCAACATGACAAGTTATGATAGGAAATGGTGTGTGAAAAATAAGTTTTCCTGAAGCAAGGTCTTCATCAATGGACAATAAGGAAGATACATAGAGATGCAAGCACACAAAAGTTATACAAACAGAACAATAAACATTTTCATTTTGACAAAGAGAAAAAGAAAACACCTAAGAGAACCTGACCTGGCTTATATAACGTGACAGCTAACTATTTCACTAAGCTGTAAGAAAGCAACCATATGTAAACTTTAACTTGCTTCTGGTCAAAAGAATAACATGTTTTTCATGGGAACTGAAATAACAACTGACAGATTGTTGTTACTAAATTAGGCCACTGTATTCTATTAATAACATTCATCAGGCTGACAAAAGTCTCTGACATGGGCATCTGTGAAGGCCTTCCTAAAATCCTGGCAAAATTTGGTTGCCCAGAGCAACTCATCATGATGGTATGAAATTGGCAAGCTGGATCACATGATGGATTATGGCGGATCATCTAATCCATTTGAAGTCACCAATGAGTCAAGCAAGGCTGTGTGTTGTACTGACAATTAGATGCAACATCAATGTGTTAATATGTGTGGATCTCACTTATTACTTAACTTATGCAAGATACTGATCATATAAGCCTACATTCCAAGTTTTATCAAAAGATGATCAGAAACATGGACTTGGTGGTTGTTTATGAAACCTATCTCCTTGCAATGAGATAGATTAACTATGTCTGGTATAAAATATAGTGCTGCTAAGCTAACATCCAAATTGTTTTTTTTTTATTTATAAATAATTACTCCCTTTATATTTGTAATTATGTTGTTATTTTGGACTTTTTCTTTAGTTTAGACCTCTTTATTATTCTGGAAATTTTTTCTTCTCTGTGTTTTTATAAAATGTAAATACCAGTTTTTTTCCAAATGTATCACTCTTCATTTTTTGAGTATTGCTGTTCTTTTAAAAATATTGTGGAAGACAATGTTTAAGGTTGAAACCTAGCAAAGCTTTCTTGTTGTCCCTCTTCCATTTTCAAACTTTTTGTCATTGTATATTCTAAAAATACAATTATAATGGAAAATCTTTATAAGCTTTAAGAAAATTTAAAACTTTTCTATCATTTGACAAAATTCTTTCTGATTCTAATGATTAGGAAGGTTTCACATAAATATGTTTATGATCTTTGCAAACACACAATATAAAAGATAATTCTGTCTATATGTTCAATTAATAGGTCGATTAATCAGACCATTTTAATACAATGAGATTTAGATGGATACCAGATGATATTTTTACAATGTTCAGAGGAATTTCTGATTGCAGGGGTTGTATAAGTAGATGCTGAGACAAGGAATACATCATGTGTGTGGTACAACTTGAACAACTGATGCAGTCGAACAATGAATGCAATCTGCAGCGTTTTTGGTTTTTTTTATGTTGCAAAGACTACTGTATATAAACATGGTAGCAAGCATAGTTTTACCAGATCATTATTTCATGAATACTTGATATAAGCTGATATTTTTCATATATAATATTATATTACCTCCAAAACAGATTATAGTAGATAGATATCAAAGAATTCACATATTATTTACCAGTGGCTACAGGTAGCATGTATCAACCCTATCCCAAATACTATTCACATGAACATTTGGACATAATGAACAGGCATCTCTGGTAGCATTAGACAAAGGTCACAGCCCTATAAAGTAATTACTAATAAAAAGAACATCAGCATGTACTTTCAATGCACATTTTGTCACAAAAAAGGTAAAACAGCTAACTTTAATGAAAACAAGAACAATTTATTAATTAACAAAAATGTGTAAAAGGTAAAAATAGTCAGCACATGTATAATTTGACTGTTACCAGATTCTTAGCATATACTCTTTTTGCATCTGTGAACTGATCCAAAAACAGAAAAGAAGCAAAATTAGTAACTACAGTAGGATGTCAATTACCCAAAGACCAATAACCTGTACCTGGATTGTTCACTCATGCTGAATCCTATTGCATACCATCAAAATTTCAATCCCCAATTAGTCCAAAATTAATTACCTGATTATTATTTACTTATATATAATCCCACCTGTACCATGATAATTTCAATTCCCAATTCATAAGTTTGATTAATATCTGGATTGTTTACTCATCCAGAACTCTGCCATGTACATGAGAATTTCAATCCCTAATTCATGAAAACCAATAGAACAAATTACCAATGTTACAAACCATATCTATCTATGAATAATCAGGATTTTAATGTATAATGTTTCCAATGCTAAAGCGACAGTGAGATTAATAATTGTAAGTAGTCAAGCCTGCTGTATGCATTAGAGGTACAAAGTGTGTGTTCATCATTAAGACAAGATGATGTATGCTATGGACTTTCATCAAAATACTTTATACATCTGGACTTGTAGTATTGAAGTTTTTTAGTTAAGCACTAATTTAAACGTCAAAAAATCTGATAAGATACTAAATTTGACATTTGATAGGCCCTAAGTGACAAATAGTCTAAAGTCTTATTGGGACCTTAAATTATGAACTTGAGTGGTTTGCTTAAAAATGTCAAGATTACAGTGTCTAGCCATTTTTTGTTTACAACATTTCTTAAAAATTCTCCGGAAAATGAGGTTTTACCTTATCTTTGTATGATACTTTTAAAATTATAAGTACAATGGATAAAACAAATCTAGTTTTAAAATTGTACGACTGACAATTATTTCATTTGTGAAACAACAAAACAACAAAGAATTCCTCAACTTTTATACCATCCTCCATGTTTTCTCCTGCAGAAAAATGATAATTCCAAATGCTGTCTGTATCTTAATCCATGATGTCTGCTAAATATTCAATGAAATTTAAATACTGACAGCAACAATTTTTCTTTTCAGATCTGAACTGTATATGTTTAGTGAACCTATGAACTGGAGATTATCTCAATAAATTCCATGCCTACAATGCTTATGTGTGCAAATAAATGAATATACTTTAAACCTGAACTCCAAAGCCTTCTGCAATTAACACTGTCAAATTGTTTTGTGGTTAAACAATAAACACCATTTATTTGAAGTCTATGAAGCATTGACTAAATGGAAATAGCACTGACTTAATCTGCCATTGTATATTACACAAGTTAGGTGGCCATTGTCATATTATACACAGAACCATGTTGAAACAAAAAAACTGTAATTAGTCAAACCATTTTAGTTTTAAGGTCAGATTATGTTATTGTCTGGAACTCATGTGACATCTTATCCAAAGCACTGAACAAACTGAATGATGCTTGCATGAAATAAAAAAAAAATATAAATCTCAGATGCAAAGCTACCATTGAATATAGTGCCACCTGACTAAAGGTTCATGAAATTACAAAAGTGTAAACTCAAGTCAACTGTCATTTAATATTTAAGATATATGCTGTTTGAATGCAATTACAAACACACAGATGTGCCAGTGTGTGTGTGTGTGTGTGTGTGTGTGTGTGTGTGTGTGTGATTTGGATTTTAAATGTAGCTTTAACAATTCTCCAGTCATATAGCTAAAATATCTGCAGTGTGGCAGTTTATAGTGATGTCTAGCACTAAGGCGTCATGCCGCATACACATAGCATCATATCCCAAAAAGCCACATTAATTATCCTGACACCAGGCTGACCTCTAACCTATTAATGCTGAGTGCCAATTGAGGCAGCTGCTAGTACCATTTTTATAAGTCTTTGGTATGACCTGGTTAGGGTTCAAACCTGCAACCTCTTGTATTTGAGGCAGACGCTCTAACCACTTAGGCCACCAGAGCAAGTTTATCAAGGTAGATTAGCGTTTTTTGCAATTGGATCTGGCTTACACACAAGTATGCATGAGAATCTAAATTAATAATCTAAAACAGCAAATGAACTGCAAGTGGAAAATTAAATCAGGTTATCTTAATTAACATCTGAGATATTCAGAACAAAACATTCTTATTATTCTAAGGAATGTACCTTTTGTGAATTTGATGCTTCGTCATGGTCATTTCGAAATTATAGTATTAAATGTTTGTTGATTACTTGCTCAGAATTTAACCTAAATTATACATCCACATCCAATCATTATCTTCCCTTCTATAACCTAAATTATACTGAAAAATATTGACTTTTAGTTTCATTTCCTAATAATCACAATGATAGGTAGAAAGAACATAATTATGTTTATAGCCTTAATCTGTGGCCAAACTTTGCATACCTTGCTGCAGTGAGTTAGTTACTAGACAGCATGAAGGCAGTAACTTGGGATCCTAAGCAGAATTATTTACATTAATTCTGTGTACATAATAATGGAACACAATTTCTGTTAGAAGCAAAACTTCCCACACATCTATGATTGTTAATTATGGTGAGATGTACTATGCCAGATGCTTATTTCAAACAAAGAATTGATTTTGTGGCATATAGAATTTAAAACATTTTTGTGATTTTGTAAAAATAGAGTTTTACAAAATCTCAGAAATACTGAGTGGTTAAATTTGTAAATTCATAGTACTATAAAAAATATAACAAAAACTCAGACATACGGAGTGATGAAATTTGTCGACACAAAGTACTTGTGAAACCTCAGAGGTACTGAGCAATCAAGCATGACAAAAGTTTCACCTTTTAAGTGCAAGGGCTAGAATACATTAATTCTACACTAGACATAATGGACGATGACTAGATGAAAAATGTTCAACAATGCATTCCTTCTAAGCAAAACTTTGGGACAAAATACTTTTCATTTCTAAACTGAATTCAGTTTTCTGAAAGCATCACAAACATTGGTTGCTGCAAAATGTTAACTGATAAAAAAAGTTTATTATATAAAGGGTTCTCGATAATCATGATTTTGGTTTCCTGGCACTAAAGGTGTTCATCAGAGCCATTAGGGTTGCATATAGCATCTGATACATAAACAGGTAGAAGACAAGTTCTTTCTCTGATAAATGATTTATAAAATAATGACATACAAAATATGGACATAATAGCTCTGTGAAAATCTTACAATGGGAAATACACCTCATCAAGTATCCCTGTCAATGCAAAAAAAATCGTTATATTTATGTGTGGTAAATGCAAACTGTAATATCCTGTGTGTTATAACAGGATAGCTAATTACAAAAATATATAGACAAATAGACCTATTTATTATAAAGTGATAGCTAATTACAAGTGATATAGACAACATAGGCCTGTGTATTATAAAGGTATAGCTAATTACTCCAAATTTATTATAAAATTTATAGATCTTTATAATATATTTAGAGAGTTCTTTAAAAAGCTAGAGGCTTTTGTGAATTTCAGTTCATGTATCTTTTCACGCAATAATTAGACGATTAGATATCAATATACCTTACGTACAATTGCAATGCAGCATTGAAATTTGTCACAATATCCATGTTAGGGTAAACCTGCAAAGTCTTTAACTTTGCTCCATGGTTTAATGAAAAAACAAAACAAAACCAATCAACGCCAAATCCAACCTCACCCCTCACCCTCAACCTCTCCCCCCCAGAGTCATCGATGACACACAAATGTCTGGTAAAAGTCATATATCCACTCTGAAGTAATAAACCCTAGATTTCAAATTAGAGACTATATAAGAAAAGAGAATTAGACATAAAGACCAAATCATCTACGTGCAATTTATAAAAAAAAACCGCTCAACTGATGTTTTTCCAGGCTTTTAAAACAATTCAACCAATTGGGTGACATTTCCTCATATCCCTTTAAAGAGACCCCGCCCTGCCAGCCCTTCATCATATCGCACGCAAACACACACACACACACACACACACACACACACACACACATACATCAATGTATCTTGATAAGAAAAATAGACTACTGTTTACTGAATCATATTTACGGTAGAGCTGGCACCCTATCCCATCCACACAATGAGCAAAAAAACAACCTGAACGTTTCGTATAGTAAGTTTCTTTACTGTTAGAGAGTTCTATATATGCCCTAGCAACCTTTTAAATGCAGGAAGCGACTCGGTTTCGCCTCATGGGCCCCACGGGAAGCTTTGCTCCACTGACCACTTGTTCACACACACACACACACACACACACACACACACACACACACACACGACTATATTTCTGAATCAGCCCAGCAAACTCGTTAAATATACGTATTTGCAACTTACTTTACTTTAGATCCACTTATATTCCTTAAAAAGTAACACTAATGAGAATCAAATATTCCTCCTTTCACCCGATAAATCATTTTAGTAAGACAACTTTATATCCTCGTTTGTTTCACACAACGTGTCTTATTAATCGCCTTGTTTGCATTGTCAGCTACAATCTAAATGAGTGCACTGAAGCGATTATTTTTAATTGTGTAAAAAACATTCAACATTTAAATCCCAGCTTAACTGATCTAGTTCTTTGAAAGACGCTTTATTTACCTGATTTAACAAAAACAAAATAGAACAAATGAATATTCAATCCTGTACGTTATGTGTTATGCATTGGAAGGACTATTGTCATTTTTTGCAACACTTGACGACAATGATTATATGACGACTTCACATGCACACCTACAAAGTGCCAACCAAAGATAGCTGACATATGAGAAGATAAATTATCTCTTGCATCTGGAGTCACGCATCCATTCATTTTCTTTACTATTAAGTACATGCATTTCACCAAGCAAAATTGAAACCAATATTCTAATCTCATTATGACTCGTAGGATTGACAGTGAAAGACCAACATTCCGATCACACTAGAATTCCAAGGTTGACAGTGACAGATTAATATTCCAGTCATTTTGGGATTCCCATTGATATTAATGAAAGACCAACAATCCAATCACACTAGGATTCCCAAAGTTGACAGTGAAAGACCAACAATCTTACCACACGGGTTCCTAGGGTTGACAGTGACAGACCAACATTCTTATCACACTAGGGTTCCTGGGGTTGACAGTTACAGACCAACAATCCAATCACACTAAGATTCCCAGGGTTGACAGTGAAAGACCAACATTCTTATCACACTAGGGTTCATGGGGTTGACAGTAACAGACGAATATTCCAATAATACTAGAATTCCCAGTGTTGACAGTTACAGGCCAACATTCCAATCACACTACAGCTACTAGAGTTGACAATGACTTACCAACATTCCACTCATGCTAGCATTTCTGGGTTTGACAGTGACGGACCAACCTTTCAACCATAGTAGAATTTCTAGAGTTGACAGGGGCAGATCAACATTCCAAGACTGTGAAAGACCAAAAGATTCCAACGACACTAAGACTCCCAGTGTTGACAGTAAGAGACCAACATTCCAATTACGAACGATTCAGATGATTGATAGTGACAGGCCAACATTCCAGTCACACTAGGATTATTAAAGTTGACAGTGACATACTCATATTCCAAACACACTAGGACTTCCAGGGTTGACAGTGACAGACCAACGTTCTAGTCATGTTAGGATTCCTAAGTTGACAATTACATACCAAAATTTCAATGACACTAGGATTCCCTGGTTGACAATGACAGACCAACATTTCAATCACCCTATGGTTCCTAGGGTATCACAATGAAATGACACAAACAAACAAACAAAAAATTCTAAATTTGAAGAACTAAAATGGCTACTGACCAATATGCATTGTGTCCAGTCTGACACTATCTGTTTACACTGGTCGACAGGAAAAGTCATAGGGGACACTGCTTACGGTTGATTTAATTATTATATTTCTGTCTATAATTTGACACCGTTGTCGTTTTTTAATCTAGAGAATGTGTCAACTAACTCTTTATGGGATCCTGGAGGGAGTTAACTGTAGATTCCAGAAATTATTTTGTTCTTGTTGTAAATACTGGTAGTAAGTTACACGATACCTATCAAAGAAATAAAATATGAATGATTTGTAGCTCGTTAATGACATTACTCGATAATGTCGACGAAGACCTATAATACAATATGGTTTACACGAGATAAATTTATTGGGAATTGTTGGAATTTGATCAGTCAATCACCTTTTATAGTAAAGTCTTTCTGTGAAATTCCAATACCCATGTAGCTTTTATACACTGCGCAGGATACTAACTTTTATGATAGCGGAAAAAAGTATAGTGATAGGCACGTTTTTAAAAATCTAACAAGTCAATTCAACCATGGTAGAGCTGTGTACAAAGAAATGTGTAGTTTTGTCTTGCAAATACAAAATGATCCAAGAAGTCAAGTTAGACAGCAACATAAGACGATGATCATTGCCTTTTACATATATACAATAGTATCTTTTTCCTTTATATGACATAGTAATTGATTCCGCTGTCAAATGCAACAAATTAGCTAAATTGTACTATATAGGTATGTTTTCAGTTAAGCAACGTCAAAGCTTTGTACAAACATATGGATTGAAGATATCATGTTTACCAGTGGCAAAATAGGATTGTGATTACCCGTATATTATGGCAACATTATATATATATATATATAGATATATATATATATATATATATATATATATATATATATATATATATATATATATATATATATATATATATATGTATATGTATATGTATATATATATATATATATATATATATATATATATATATATATATATATATATATATATATATATATATATATATATATATATATATATATATATATAATCGACCCGCCATCAGTTGGTCAAAGTTGATGTGGTTTAAGAAACGTACATTGGGTCCAAGGGTGTACTGAGTCCAAAATATGATTGCCACCTAATGTTACAAAATATTAGATAAATATTTTCAAAGATTTGGGGGA